CTGGGGTCCCCTTGGCCTGCGTCCAGACAGCCAGAGCTCAGCTCTCTCCCTCTGAGGCTTCCCTTGACTCCAGCTTTTGCTGCATGTCCAATCGGGTCCTTCTCTGCAATTCTGGGTACATGAAAATGGGGTCCCCCCAGAGACTGAATCAGACGGAGGGTCACAGAACCCACGTGGAGGAGGAAGGTTCTGGGGTCCATGTAGCTAATGGCTCTCAGAGGACGCCGGGGAACACGGCGGCCGGAGGAACCAGCACAGGGTTTGTGCAGAGGTCAGATTTCAGACCAGGACCTTTTCCTGTCTCTTCCTCCATGCCCCGGGGTATCTCCCAAAAGGAAGACTCTCTACTCTGTGAGCAACCGACAATATTTCCAATCTGTTTTCTCTGTGACCTTTCAATAAGGAAGTGATTTGGGAGTCCATTAAATCCAATTGAAAAATGAATGTGACCTCTGTTGTGGTTGTAAGGTGTTTGCTTTATAATTATTTATCATTGACTAATCGATTTCATGTCACTTTCCAAATGTGTTCTTTCTTTCTTTTTTAAGATTTATTTATTATGTATACAGGAACTGGTGAGAGGATTGACCAGAGACAGGGTGGGGAACAGAAGTGGGTGAGACAGGAGAGGCCTGCTGTACCACATGGGTCCCCTTCCTGACCAGGGATTGAACTCGTGCTGTTGCAACTGCAGACAGCTTCACCAGGGAGGGGGCCCAAATGTGTCCTTTATTTGCAACTTAAAATGTTGGTGAACACTCACAATTGCATGAGAAAAGATAAAATGCCTGGGAGTAAACTTAAGAGCAGAAGGGAAACTTTTACATTGAAAACCATAAGGCATTGTTAAAAGAAATATAAGAAGATAGAATGGAAAGACATTCGGTGCTCACTGGAAAAGATAACATTGCTAAAACATGCATCTTACCTAAAAGAGTTTCAGTGCAATCCCTATGAAAATACCAATGGCATTCTCCAAGGAAATAAAACAAACCATACCAGAATCTGAATGGAACCACAAAAACCCCAGCAATAGCAATTCTGCATCAGAGGCAAAATAATAATTGGTTTAGGGGAGGCCTGGGACTCATCGTCAGAGAAAATAACTAGCTGCCATTATCAGCCAAAGCTGTATACTCATGTTGGACACACACGCTAATCCTCCCGCCATAGGAGAGAGGAATCATTATCCACCCCGTCTACACAAGCAGGAAAATGGCTCAGAGAGGTGAAGTCACCAGCCCTGAAACTCACACCAGTAGAGCTCAGATGATCCAGCCATGGTCTGTCTGACTCAGTCTTCTGTTCTTTCCATGCTGCGTGCTGAGAGAGGAACTCCACTGATCGGGACCTCTCCCATCTCTCTCCCTTCTCTCCAGCACTACCATGTCCCAGATCAGACTCATATACCCCAGAAGCTGAATGTCCATGGGGTATGTGCCTACTCACCATGTGCCCGACCCACTGTGTGCCCGGCCTGAACTGAGTGGTTGAGCCACAAAGACAACTGAGCCCAAAGTTGTGCTTAAAGAATCTGCTCACACAAGGGACAACTCCGTTTTTCCATCCAGGATGACCCAATGTGAATTGCGTTGCCTGACTGTGGGTCCTCAACCATATGCTTAAGACTCAACTGCAGGCATACACAAAAGGGTTAATAATGGGTTTATTTACAAGGGAAATGAATCACTCAGGGAAAGACAGAGAGAGAGGTAAGTTGGTTAGTGCGTCCTACCAGTTCTGCTGACCTGGAACCCCAATAGCACACTGAAAGCCGGTGAAGAGCCAAGAGACAAGCCACAAGCCACGAGGCCAAGAGACCCCCAAAGCCCACTTGTCCGGTTTTATGTCCCAACCTGGCTGCTTAACCCCACGCTCAGGTCCCAACATGCTTCTCTTTGGTATTAATGGGATTTGTAGTTGCAGGTTCAGGGGTGGGGTCTACTTGGACCACAAGATCACACAATTGTCATCCATCCCTCATTCATTCATTGATTCAGTCAGTCAACAAACACATGTTAAAACTTTCCATGTACCAGATGCTTTGGTAGAGGAATTGAGAACTACTCAAGACTGAAGTCCCTATCCTCATGGATCTTGTATAAAATTGGGGGATTTTGTTCTATGGAGAGTGGCCATATCCTGGTGATTCTTTGCATTGTCTCCTGTTGGTTGGGGGGCAATCACAGGTCCATGCAGAGGCACTGGGAGCCCCCGTGTTTTTTTTCCTCCATGTTTTCTGCTGGACAGAGATCCAGCATGGAGAGCTTGGGTTGGGGAGAGGCAAGCTGTAACCCTGACCCCGGTGTCCTGAGTGAGCTAGCTCCGGGCCCCAGTCTCTTCCTTCTTAGAGCATCTGTGGCAATGGCAAAGCCCCAGGAGACTTCTAGGAAACTCATAAAAGTGTGTTCTGGGTTTTGAAATGACTGGAGAGGCGCACTGGCCTCTAGCACCCAAGGGCCAAAGATGCCAGACAGTTGCACAGACAGTCCTGACCCCCCAAAAGTGATGGCGTCTTATGTGACTTTCAACATGCCCTGCAGCTGTGAGTTGTGCTGCTATTGACATCTCTGGACAAGGAATTGCTTGCATAGCTGCTTCCAGTGATGGGGAACATATATCCGGAAGCAGAATTGCTGGGTCACGGGGCAATTCCATGTTTGAAATTTGCAAGGAGACACTGAGTTTTTTTCACAGAGGTGGTATAGACAATGGCTATTATTGAGCCACAGAAAGAAATGAAATCTGATGCGTAATAAATGGGGAAGAAAGTCAAAAACAACACTCTGCATCCAAAAAACATGTGCCAGAGGTCATCCAGATACAGAA